ATTTGTTGCTAGTGAAGTTCTATATATTGACCTTTCAAATAATCATCTTGCCAAATTCACTTTGTAAGAGCAATACTTTCTTATAGATTGTATTCTTTACACAATCAATTATATAAATCATAGCATAATAAAGACAATCTTGTTTCTTTTTTTATGTTTTTAGTATAGTGTCTAAGGGTCTCACTACACAGACTGGACTCGTAGGGATCGTCCTGTTTTCAGCCTCCCAAGTGCTGGGATTACGGGTGCATGCCACTATGTCCAGTCTCAATCAGCATCTCAGGGTGACCCAGAGACAGGGCCCGCATGACACGCCGGCGATTTGTCTTATTTTCTAATGCTAATATATTTTATTTCTTGTTCTTGACTTATTCCACCGGCAGTGATCTATACCCTAATTGCTAAAGCCATGGTAGTGAGCGTTCTTGTTTGCATACAGGTCTCAGGGAGTGAGTAGGCACTAGTATGAGGTTAGCTGTGAGATTTCTATAGATCTTGACCAAATTAAGAAAGCTCCTGGTTAGCTAAAGCCCTCCTATAAAGAATGGAGAAAGAATTGTATCAGGTGCTTTCTTCGGCATGCATCTGTGCCAAGTGTCTTTAAACAGTACTTTCTAACAGCTGCTTTCCTGCAACACTGACATTTGGACAGTTGTGACAGAGTCCACAGAACTTGAAGAAGGTAAAATATTTGCTCTCAGTCACCTTACAGAAAATATGTGGGCCCCTCCCTGCCTTGTAGGATTAGCTTTCCTCTTTATAAGTATTAAACTGATTGCTTTCTGAAAATTAAGTCAACCTAATACTCAAAGAGAAAATTTCTTACGTGCATTATTGTTCATATACTACTACATGGAATTTGCTAATGCCTAGACTTGAAGTCTTATATCTGTGATTGTGAGAGGAAGAAATGATCTATATTTTACCTCTCTGATCATGTCTCTATACCTTTTTTTAAACTTGACAAGTAAACATTGTCTGTACTTATGCTGTGTGACACAATGTTTGAATATATGCCTACTTTAGGGGACATCTAAATCAAGCTATTTAATATATGTGTTACTTATTTGTAAGGGTTTTTTTTTTTTTTTTTAAATTTAGTACAGGGTCTATGGGGCCTCATTATACAGATTGGACTCATAGTGATCCTCCTGTTGGTAGCCTCCCAAGAGCTGAGATTACAGGTGCACACCACCACGCCATCTCAATGGCTGTCTCAGGGCACCCCGGAGGCAGGGCCGGCACAGCATGCCGGGGATTGAACCCTGACCCCTGAATCTGCCTAAGCAGGCACTTTATTCAGCTCAGTTATCTGGCCAGCCCTCTTATCTGTCAGTTTTGTATGGAAATTTGTTTTATTTTATGAGATTTTGCAAAAGCCGGTCCTTTCTAAGTATCTGAAGGTGACCACCGATTACATCTGCCCTGGGTTTTGTGAGGAAGGTTTTAATTCGAGATTCAACTTTTAAGTAGGCATAGAAATTATATGCACTGTAGGTTAGATCTGCAATGTCCTCAATAGGCAAATCTTGTAAAAACTTGCCCATGGTGCTACTGGGAGATTGTGAAAGCTTTAGTAGGCATGGACCAATGGTAAGTCCTCATGTCATGGCTGGTCTTCTCTTGAGGAAATCTGTGGGACCTGGCCTTTCATTGCCTAGCCACGAGGTACATGGTTTTGCTCCAACACACGCTCCCTGCTTTGATGTGCTACATCACCATACTCCCAGATAATGAGGCAAGCGACTAGGGAATGACATCTCTAAAACCGTAAGCCTAAGACAGCTTTCTCTTCGGGGAACAATTCTCACAGGCATCTGTTACAGTAATAGAAACTAACTCAGCAAGGATTGTCAGCCCATTTCTTATTTGTCAGTTTTGGTAAAATGAATTTTTAAGAGTCTGTGATTCACCTAAATTTTGAAATTATTAACAGGAGTGTTCATCAGATTCTCCTATGAGTATTTGTAAGCTTGTAAGGCCTATGATAATGCTCCGTCCTCCCCTTTTCATGCTGGAAACGTGCCTTTCTCCCCAGTCTTGCACCATATCAACTGCATCAATACTAAGCAACTAATTTTTGTGATGCTAGCTTCCTCTACTGAATTTGTTCCCATTTCTTTGAATTTTTGTTTATTACTCCTATGGCTTCTCCATTTCTTCTGATTCCCCAAGGTGGAATCTAGTATCCTTGACCTGAATGTGAGACGCAGGCTCAGCCATCTCCCTCCAAGCTGCTCTTCATCTGCATCTGCTGTTTTTGCTATGTCCCTATCCATCCAAATGATTTCTGACTTCCTCAGTGTTTGTTTCTGGTTTTGACTTAGGATGAATTATTTTTGTGTGTTATATATCTTCTAATAATTTAGGGATTATTCTACTTTCAAGTTGACGGGTCTGCACCCATGCAGAGGTCTACCAGGGCAGCATGGCGGCCAGTCAGCGCAGCATGGGGAATCCTAGAGCCAGCGATGAGGAGCCACTCCTACACTCTTCCGTTCCTTCTGGCCAGGTTAAGCATTAACTTCCTCTTTTGAGTTTCTTGCGCACCAACCCCCCCCCCCCCCGCCTGTTGCGTCACTGTACCGCCCAGGTAAACTCCGCCCCTAGCCCAATTAGATGAAAGCCCCACCCTCTGCCTCCGCCTCAAGGTCTCTGGCTTCTCAGTTGGCCACCCTCCTGCACCTGGAATAGGGATTTCTTTGCTTTTACCCTTTTCTTGTTCACACCACAAGGAGGACCTCATAAAAATAGTTTGTCTTCTGGTTTAATTTGGAAACAAGTTTTTGGAAAGCTGACATACACTGAGAAATAGTCAATGCAAATCAGAGAATTTCTGAAGTTGTTAGCTTTAGCATGTTCATGTGTGTGTGCACAAGCATGGGCACGTGTGCATGTTTGCGTGTATGAATTAGATCTTCTATGTTACTTATGATGTTAAAATCTTTTCAATAGCTGGACACAGTGGTGCATGCCTGTAAAAAAGGCACCCAGAGGCTGGGGCAAAAGCATCCCAGGTATAAGGTTAGCCTGAGCAACTTAGCAAGACTGTCTCAAAAGAAAATCACAACACGGAATGAAGCCAGCGCTTGCAGCACATCTTGTAACTGTAGAGGCCAAAGGGAACTTGTGTTAGTCTCATCGTGTCTCAGCAAATTTAGCATCAAAATAAAATAAGGAATGAGGATGTAGCTCAGTAGTATACTGCCCTGGGTTCAATCCCTAGTACTGAAGAAAGAATATTTTAAATGTTTAATAAATATTTTGTATGCTTGCTTTTCATTGCAAGAACGATGTTAAATTTCTTAACTGTGGTTTGGAATTTGGCTTGTCCTTTCAGTTCTGGCAACCTTTGCTTTTTGTATTTTGAAATCTTATTAAGTGCACATATATTACTGTTTTTGGATTTTCCTTTTTAATTGACTCTTTTAATCACTATGAAAATATCGTCAGCAATATTTCTCACTTAATGTTTCTATGATACTGGGGACTGAATCCCAGCACCTTTGTTCTGAGCTATACATGCAGTGCCTTTTGTTTCTTATTTTGAGAAAAGATCTCATTAAGTCACTGAATTGGCAAGGCTGGGCTCAAACTTTTCTTGCTTTGGCATCGGAATTACAGGTGTGCATCACTGTGCCTGGCTTAGTCTCCTTTTCATATTAACTAATACCTATTGTTCTTTGGTTTGGATAGAGCTCTTTTCACTTTCTCAAACATTCTGCATCTTAAAATGTGCCCCTTCCAAATATATTAGTAGGTTTGCTTAATAATCTTTCATTTGAATTGCTTAGCACACTGACATTTAAAGTAAACACTGAATATTTTTGGCAAAAGTGCTTGGTTTGGCAGGCATACTTACTAAATAAAGCTGCAACGCACAGTTCAATGGGGCAGGCTCTCCAGAACATGGTACATTAGCTGCCTAAGTTTCAGCTTTTAATGCAGATACTACTGGGGATAAAATATGGACATTTCATGACATAAATAGCACCATTTTTTAAATGAGTGATGCCCCATATACACACTCGGCTGGAGCAGGGGGATGGTAACACAGCACAGAGCACCGGAGGACTGTGGCGGGTGCTTATGAAGTGTCCCCAAAAGGCTTTCGTGCAGAAGGCTCAGTCCCTGGAGCGGCAATGCTCAAACCTGGGGCCTCAGGAACATGGTGGCTCTGCATTCATGGGTGTAGAACTGGGTGGGCTGCTGGGAACCAGTGGAAACGCAGGAGGAGGATCTACTTGAAGGGCATGGTCCTGGGGGCATGGTCCTGGGGATGGCATCCTGCGCCTGGCCATTTCCTCTCTGGCTGTCTCTGCTTCTGGGCTTCCAGGAGGTGAGCAGCATTCCTCCTCCAGATGCTCTACCATGATGTTCTTCGCCGGCCACACACCTACAATCAGTGCAGCCAACTGACCACAGAATGAAATGCCTGAAACCAAGAGCCAAAATGAACCTTTCCTCTTTTGTTGTCCTCTGGTATTTTATCACAGCCACAGAAAGGTTATTAACTCAAGCGGTCCAGGCATTCCAGAGAAAGTCCCTATACCTGCCATAATTAGTGAAGCTTGATGCTGGCTGCAATGATTGCTACATTGTGTCAATTTGACAAGTTTACAAGTTTTAACTAACTAAACCACTTAGCAAGAGGGCAGGGTCCTCATGCTGGGCAAGAGGAGAGTATGCAGTTGGCGTGAGCGCGCCACACGCTCCACACGCACCCAGGGCTGCCTGCGTAAGTGGCCTGCTCTCACTGGTGTGCTCTAGCTGCCTTCGCTGTCTTCTGCCGCCTTCAGCTGGTGTCCCCGTGCTACGTCCCCATGCCTTGGAGCCAGCTGATTCCAGACTGAAGACTGCACAAACTGTGAGCTAAATAAATGCTTCCCTCTTTAACTTTGGGTGTTGGGAATTTTGTCCCAGCAATGAGAGAAAAGTAACAAAGACTAGCTTCTTGAGTTAGATTCGATAATCTGATCTTGATTTTTTTTCCATTTGTCTTTTTGAAACAGAGTCTCACTATGCAGTGCAGGTTGGCCCTCAGCTCACTAGGCAGCCCAGGATGGCCTCAAACTCGCAAGGATCCTCCTGCTTCAGTCTCTGGAGTGCTGAGATTATAGGCGTGCACCACCATGCCCAGCTCGAATCTTTAATACTGCTTGAGTCCTCCAAGTGGTTTCCCTGCTTCTCTCCTTGCCCCTTCCGTTCCCTCTCTGGCAAGCCCTTGAGCACGTGAGGTAGTGCACGTTACTCTTGTGACCCAATGCCTTTCCCTCTCACAGTGAAAGCCAAATCCTCCATGCCACCAGGGCTGGCAAGGCATCACCAGAGCTCATTTTTCTCTGCCCAAGCTTCCAGAGACATGGTCTACAAGGGCCCGGCATGGGCCTGAGCCTCACCTCCACAGCAGTACTGTCTAGCCACCACGTCAGAGCCAAGGGTGGGTGCACCGTGGTAACAGGAGCAAAACCTGGCCTGAGAATAGTCAGTCTTGAGCAAATGGCTCAAAACATCTGTGTGGTAAGATTCCAACAAAAAAACCTATTTTCACTGTCACCAGCTGACAAGACCACAGGGACCTATGGATCAACTCCATCTATAGCCTGGTATCTAAAAGGGTCTACAAATAACCTGGCTGCTATGTGTGAAGAAATGTATAACTTAAATAAATCAGTGAGGATATTCTTTATGAATATATAGCATAGATATAACTGCTAAACTATTTTTAAAAAACACGGGCAAGGTGAGTTCACAGGAGCTGCACGCCCAGCCTGGTCCAGCCCGTCTGGCACACACATGAGCATCTTGCCGTAAGGTGCCACAGGCAACGTGGCACCCACAGAACTGGGGCGCGGCTCCCAAGTCCTGCACACTGAGCGCCTGCCAGCGAGCCGGAAGCCGCCCCTGAGCGTGGGGAGCCACACGCAGGCCCTTAGGTGAGCAGGGTGCCAGCCACAGGAAGGGCAGGGAGAAGTCGCACTGCAAGTCTGCTATGGCGTCACGTGAGCCCTCCTCTCGAGGCCCACCAAAAAATGTTTTAAAAAAATATTTTAAAAGATTTAAATCTCAGCTTCATGAAAACTGTTGTTGAATATTCTCCGTAAAAGACTTTTTCTTTTCCTTTATTGTCTTGCTTTATGACCAAATATCTTGAAGATAGCGTTTTTCTTCTCTTAAAGTAGCCAGCGTTTTCACTGCTTCCAGTTTGTCAACGCCAAGCTCTCTGCTTATTATTTCCACAAGGCTGTCATTGACGTCCTTGGCCATATTCTTTGCATCCCTGAAAGAGAAAATAACATTACCTTTTATAAATATAGCAGACGTTTTCCAAATCCCTAGTGCCCAGGCCTAGCCCCTGCGCTTCCCCACGCTGGGTCTTCCTGCGGATCTAGATTACCGGCCTTCAGTCTTTTGTTTCTTCTATACACATCATCAACTGCCTCCTCCCAGGGACGCGGGAAGCAGCAGGCCGCTCACCCACAGACATAAATGCAGCCGTTCTCTCGGAGGAGGATCCCTGCCACCTCCTGGCTGTGCAGCTGGAGGCTGTCTTGCACATACTTGGCTGGAGCCTTCTCCTCCCCCAAAGGGGCGTCTCTTGAAAAGGTGACCTTCAGGTGAGTCAGGATCCCGCGCTCGAGGAAACGCCTTAGCTCTTCCCTGAAACACAGCACACTACGGGTCACTCACGGGCAGGTGGGCACTACGGTGAAGAGAAGAGCACGCTCAGCGGTCTGCAGGAGCACAACAGCAGCGCTGTGAGGTACCTGAATAAGTAGTCCCTCTCCTTATGTCTGCAGCCAAAGAACAGCCACATGGCTCCAAAATTTCCATCCGGGCGCTGCTCTTGGAGCTTCTCTCTAGAGACAAAGAAAGGTGATATGCTGATATAGAGAGGAGCAACATAAAGCAAAATTCTTTCATCAAGACACCACCAATAGGGGGCCGGGGAGATGGCTCAGTGGAATAAGCATTTCCCTGGCAAGTGCAAGGGCCTGAGTTCAATCCCCGGTTCTGCCAAAAAGAAAAAAGATACCACCAATAAACTAAGGTTTGTAGAATCCATCTTTATAGTCCTTGAAAGTTCATGCTATTTGTACAAAGAGCGATACAGGGCTACAGGATAAATTCTGAGAGTACTTGGCTGACCTTATCAGATACAAAAGTTACATTTCTTGTTA